AAAGAGGGCATCAGGAAGGCCGCAGTCCCGTTCTTCCTCCCCTACTCTACAGCCTCGCCCTCCTCCCCACCCCCTCCAGCACACCCACAACCCCCTCTCTAACCTCCCTCACAACCTCCCCAGCCCCCTTCACCTCCCTAACCAACCCAACCCCACTCCCCGCATACGCCGTCATCCTGCCCCCACTCTCCCTCCACCCCTCATCCCCCTTCCGCATCTCCTCCCGATACAACCGCGTATTCTCCTCCTGACTCATCCCCTTCTCCACAGCATCCACATAGCTCTGCGTGATAATACCGCGCGCATTATGCGTCTCCGCCCAGTTCGTGCCGCGCAGGGAATCGTAGACTTTAGTGCGCACGGTGCTTTGTCCGCCGTCGGTGGTGCGCAGGATAGCAGAGCGGTACCCAGTGCTGATGGCTGCTTCGGGGGTGGCGAGTAGACGCGTCCCCAAGACGCAGCCTGAGGCGCCGAGAGTGAGGGATGCGGTGAAGGTGCGGGATTCGGATATGCCACCTGCGGCTAGGAGGATGGGTTTGGCACTTTGGGTTCGGTGATGGAGGGTGTCGATGGCGTCACCGACTTCAGGGAGGAGGGTGACGATACTTGCGCCTTGAACGAGACCATGACCTCCCGCGTCTGTGCCTTGGACGACGAGGACATCTGGGCCGATTTGTTCGACCACTTCCACAGCATCTTTTACACTGCCTACCTGAACCCAGATCTTCGTCGAGGGAGAAGCGGTTCTACTCGCTTCTGCCCATTGCACGAGGGATGCTGTTGATGAAGGCGCGAAGAACCATACTGCTGCTGGATGGTGTTGCGCGATGATGGGTATGGCCGTTTCGAGATCTGCGCCCCAGTTTATGAAGCCGACGCCGATGGGAAGTGTTCTGTTTTTCGTTGGTAGTGCGGTAGGTGTGTCGTTCAGGAGTGTTTTTGCGTGCTGCATGTGGGATTCTAAATCTGATACGTCTGTTCCTGCGCCTATGAAGCCGATTCCTCCTGTGTGGGTTGGTTAGGATGATGTTGGAGTATCAATGCGTGTTGTGAAGCATGAGATGAGATGGAGGGGCTTGACCAAGCAGTTATCCACTACAGAAACCTAAAGGAGAATTGATGTGATGGTCTCTTCTTCAACTTACCGGCTTTCGATACTTCAACAGCCATGTCCGCTAGAGCGATCAAGCGCATCGGCGCGCCTACCACCAGCGGCGTTTGAATCCATGGGTAATCCACTTTCAATCTTTGCATGTCATCCATCATCAAATCTTCCCTTCTAATGGCAATCTTTACTCGTCTTGAATAGTCTTTAGTCTGGTTGTCGGACAGCTTTGTGGAAACCAAGTGTGAGTAAGTAGTTCTGGTAAATGCTGGGTTTCCAACTCTTTTCTACCACTCCGGTACACCGCAAAATGAATCTCTTTCAAATCCGAGGTATGTGAAAAGGTGCAACGTGATGACCCCAGTCGGATGCGTGACTAGGAAAGATGACGCGCTCCACGTTTAGAGGTTCCGGTAGACCTACCGAAAGGCTATGACATGTCCTCGGCTATGCACTATGGACCTAGTCGGCCTTATCCGGCATGGAACCTCTACAACACGACTAAACTCGTATCAAGGCATGTTACTGTTATGTTCGATTCTCATTACATCTTTTCCTCCTAGATACCCAAAAGTATTAACTAATATACTAATCCCAAAGTCTATGTTGGCATGGAACGGAACCCAGAACCTCATGCGCGCTCATGCTTGTAGAAAGCAGGATAACCGCCTGTATCTACATGCACCCATCATTAAAAACGCAAAGCTTCATAGAGCAATGAAGGGTTGTAAAGTCCTCTACAACTCCTTCTCTCTCTTCTCCCACTCTACAACACCGGGAGCCAACGGCCTGGAGAACAAACTCGAGTAGTCGGTGTTGACAATGTCCTTGCTGCCACCCACATTCCTGAGCTTGAACTCGCGCACGAATGCTACGAGAATGGTCTGCAGTTGGAGGTAAGCAAATTGCTCGCCGATGCATCGGTGCCTTCCAGCGCCAAAGGGTAGGTAGGGAGAGTTTGTTCCCTTGGAAACAACACCCCAGCCGTAGTCAATCTTCTCCTGGTCGGCGTCGTCACGCTCCTCGTCGTATTGCTGGTGCTCGGCGTCCCAGCGATGCGGGTCCCAGACGGAGGGGTTGACAAAGTGGGTGTCGAGCTGAGCGGAGAAACCAGGCGAGGACATAAGCGTGTGGGAGGTGGGTACAACGTAGTTTGTTCCATCGACGACAAGAGGTTGCTTGACCTTGCGCATGATAGAGTGGATCGGGGCGTGGATACGGAGGGTCTCCTTGACGACCTGAGTGTGGAGGGGTAGCTTCTGGAGGTCTTCGTAGGTTAGCGGTGGGAGGTCCTCACCAAGAGCCGACTTCTGCTCAGCAAGGAGCTCCTCGACCAGGTGGGGATTTTGTGCCAATCGGAGTATGATCCAGGAGATGGTTGATGAGGACGAATGTTGACCAGCCATCAGCAGCGCAATCATAATTCCGGCAATCTCGTGCTCGGGTACCGGTGTGCCGTCCTTGTACTTGCAGTCCATAAGATGCCAGATCATGTCGGGAGAGTCCTTCTTGACCTCACCCGATCTCCTCTTGCGAACGACCTCAGAGTATAGTTTGATCATCGTCTCACGCGCGTTGTCGCGTGCGCGGTTGTGGGGAAGCGGGGCCCAAGACAGCATGAAGTTGATGGGTGAGAAGCCCATGTCGAGGTCGTGGTATAGCTCAGCGAACTTGGAGTCGAACGAGTTGCGGATTTCCTGGCCCTGGAGCGAACGAGAGGCGGTGTAGATGGTGAGTTCGGCCATGACCTTGGGGACGTCAAAAGTGCCCTTCTGTCCCTTGAAAGCCTTGTGGCGCTTGACGAAGTCTTCGCATTCTTGTGTGATGAGGGTAACGTAGGAGCGGAGGGCGTCTTGGGTGAGACCGAACTTGACAAACTGTCCTCGCGTTAGCCATGGGTCGAGTATGAGACTGGGTGGTGCGCACCTTTTTCTGCTCCATGAGCTTCGAGTTGGGGCAGTCGTACACGACATCCTTGCCAAAGACCGGTGTGCAGAGCGGGGAGTAGATCTCCTCGGCGTTAACGTCCTTGATCTTTCCGTTGAGGATGAAGTTGTTGCCGGTGGTGTCGAGGCACACAGTCATCTTGCGGCCGAGGAGGATAAAGGTGAAGACATTGCCATACTACTTCCAGTCAGTCATGTTCAACCTGCCATTGCATCTCCTACACACCTTCTTCTGGTTGGCGAAGAAGAACGCATACGGGTCCATGCCATATGTGACGGTACTGCCAATCACAGGCAGCCAGTGGAACACGAGGGGCGGCTCATTGGGGTTCTTGAGCAGCAGCTGCTTCAAGACATTGAGAACGACGGCCAGCAGGATAAAGGAGGCGAAGCCGGCGGCGACGAGGACGGGAAGCGACGAGGTGGAGGTGAAGTTGCCCAAGGGGCCGGCGACATTGGCGAGGAGACCCATACTGTGCGACAAGAAGCAACAACAGAAGTCAAGGGCGTGAGGGAAAGGCGCTGTTGACGGGGACGCGCCTCAATAAATTTCCCACGGGTTGAGGCTCGCGCAGGGGCCAGGCTATCCAATCATACTATAGCCGTACAGGGCGGCGTCTGAGTGGATGAGTGGGCTGGCGGGCGGTGGGCGGTGTCGAGAGCTTGGCAGGGACCGGCTTGCGGATCCTAGCGCACCCGTTCAAAGGAGAGAGATGGCACCACTGACAGGCCATCCAGACCAAATACCCTCTCATCGTACATCGTGCCATGTCATTGGCCTGAGGGATACATCACCTTATCCACAACCCGAAGCAGGCAGTATCGAAGTGTGAGTTTTCACCCTTACTACGCTACCTAGGTACCTGGGTATGCTCTGTTATTTCACTGCGCAGTACATGTACTTATCCCTAGCCTATTCCGTTACGGCTCTTGTTCCATCAGGTGTATAAACATTACTGCGCTTTGGGTTCGTTGTTGATGTTATTCCGGCTTGCCTCCAACACGGCGTCGGCATAGCTGCAGCACATGGACCCAGCCACATACTGTTAAATTTCGACTGTTGAACATGCGACGCAGCAGCGGGCTGTGTGACAAGTTCATACTTTTGCTCTACTTAGTGCCGTTTCTCGTAGGTTGGTAGGCTGTTCGAGGCTGAGGAATCGATGCACGTAGATGAGCGCAGCCAGTTGAAGGGAGCCCTGGAGGCGTGGGGTCCACGGCTGGTAGACGCATGTGAGCAGTGGCGATGTCTCAGCCTTCTCTTTACCTTTAGATAAACCCACCATCGCTCTGGCGGTACTCTCTTTGTTGTTAGACAATTACCACTGTACCGTTCAATCCAGACGTCGCTTCCACCAGATTTAGTGGTCATGAACTTCCGCAACAGCCTTCGAAGCGTGCGTACCGCCTTCCGAAACCTCAAGCGAGACCTCAAATCGACACAATGGCTGCGAGGATTAGGGTGGTTCTTTGGGTTTGTCTGGAATTCCAGCCTTTTAGTCACTCTATTATTAGTCGCCACCGGAGCGGAGTGGTTTTCTTCTGACCTCAAGGCTTGCCAAGCGGACGGCAGTTTCAATCTGGATCCAAGGACTTACAGCATGTGGTCGTCATCTGGCTTCTTCCAAGTTACGTTAGCTGGAGGACACCTGACGTTTGCAGGAGCAAAGGCGGTTGATGTTATATGGGACGTTGTGAGCTGGCCAGAGTTTGAAGGCACGAAATTCGATACTGACAACTGATAGGCCATGGGCCGTGGAGGTCAATTATTGTTGGCGATCGTATCGTGGCGGGAGTTCGCAAGATATCTGAAGATATGCATGGAGAACGAACCTGTCAGCTATCGGCTATTTCGGACGATATTCATCGAGAAAGATGCATCGCTGATATCAACGGGCCGGACTATCAAGAGTTTCATTCGGCAGCGCAAATTACGTTCCAAAGCCGCCATGGTATTCATGGTTGCCACCATGTTATATATCCTGGCATTCCCTACACTCATGAGCGCTATGAGTGGTTACGACTCCAACGTTGTATCTCGTGTCCAAGATGGCGATGATAACCTTGTCCCTTTCGACAAGTATGCGCGGGTCCTCTATGTCATTCACGATGGCTGGAGAATCGGAGAACATGGCGATTACTGGATCAGGGAAATGGCAACTCCATGTAAGCATATTGTTCCCTTCCGTCTCTGTCTAAAAAGGACTAGTCAATGACTGAGATATGTAGATGATCCCGTGCTGAACGAAAAATATCCTTGCCGTACTCCCGAGCCGCCGAGTCGCCGCAGCTCTACGTGCAACCTAGTGGCACATGTCTCTCAATGTAAGACCGTGCGTGATGTATATGGTGTACCTACTAAGCAGTCACAGATGTCAAACAACATGGACTTGGCGGAACCCGAAACGAATCGTCGCAATTTATGGACACGCTCATAGAATCACCTGTCCTCAATATCACTGCGTACAAAAGCGAAGCTTATCTCCTCGGGGGCCAAGACTCTCCTGAACTATTAGACACAACTTGGTTGAAGGAGAACAAAACATTCGATCGCACGTACATGGAGCTCTACGGCAAGTGCCAGAACACGGGGGTAGGTCGTCACTGGGCCTTGGAGATATTGTCATATCATGCTAAGCGTTTGGTCTAGGACTATAAATGGGGATTCTCACTTTTGCAGCTCATCATCAACATGGTACTGCTGCTCGCATGGACAGTTGGGATCTATATCATGTGGATCTATACACATTTCACTATTGCGTCCAACAAAGGCTACTTTGAAGAAGTCTCTGGAGAATATCGCGCAGTCCTCGAGTTGGCAGCAGCCATGAGGATTGAGCTCGATGTTGAGGATACTGATCTCTCACTACTCAGGGAGAAGCAACTGAAAGAAAGGATTGACAAAGAGATACAGGGCGGCACCGTCTTCCGCGCATATCCCGACTCTACGCTGAAAGCTTATAGTATTCGGAACGGCCTCAAAAGTTGGTTCAAGAAGGACAAGTGGTGGTTCCTGGCTATGTTGGGTACAAGTGTTCTTTGCCCGATCGGAATAGTGTACCTCTGGCACTGGCACTGGTTCTGGTTCTGGCTTCTCGGAGTTTGGCTTGGCCAATTCTGGGCTTTCTGCTTAGGCACAACTTTGGGCAGTCGACTGCTCATTATTCTGGTTCACAGCCTTGTGGCTGGACTTACTGTAGCTGGTCTGACAACATCGTACAGGTAGAGTCATGGTGCAAAATGTCGTCTTTACTACGCTATGCTCCGTAAAATGACTAGGCCGCAGTACGTGTACTGACCCCTAGCCCACTATTTTACACTTCTGCCTGTGTTGCCGTAGAACTCCATAACCCGTTAACCCTCAGAATACGCCAGACGCTCCGCTCGAAAGAATTACCACACCATCTCAGTTTACCTGACCTTTGCTCTGTGCGGATGCAAGGCTTTGGTCAGTTGCATAGCGGGACCCGTCCTCCTCTTCCGAATACAGAGTCTGATCGCCTTTACCGCCCATCTCGACAAACTCGTTAGGATTTCGCTCATCGGCAGGCCTTACTTCTGCAGCACCATGGGTCTTGCCGTTCATCTTCGTACCGTTCTCAACTCCATTCTTTGCGTAAACTTTGACGGGCTCTTGGCCTTCAGCGGCGTTGATGACACGCGTGACTTTAACATCATTAATGCTACTAAGCATAGTGCGCTCCCGTTGTATCTTGCGCTTGGAGAAATCGAGCTTGGATATGGCCCCCGTAAGACCGTCTGTGCTGTCGGTGACGCTTATCCTGTCTTGCGTAGTCCACGGGTGCTGCAGACATTCATCAATCGATATCCGTTTCTCAACATCGACTGTGAGCATCTTGTCGATGAGATCCAGCGCAGGGTCGCCAACGGAATCCCAGTACGGTGACGGATAGTCGAAGCGGCCCATTTTGATCTGTTGTGATAATGTGTATGGGTTGTCCTCACTGTACAGCTCGTCTGAGAATGGAGGAAACCCACACAGGCAGATGTACAGGACGACGCCTAATGACCAAACGTCGACAGCTCTGGTGTAGCGGCGGTGGTTGGAATTTTCCAGAATCTCTGGCGCAACGTCTGAAACACATTAGCATACTGTCGTACTTTGCAATAGAACAACATACATGATGGAGTTCCACACAGTGTGGTTGTGAAAGATTCTTCACCGATGATTTTGGCAAGACCGAAATCAGCCAACTTGATCGACAGATCCTTATCTGTGAGCAAGATGTTCTCGGGCTTGATATCTCTGTGTACAATGTTGCGCTCATGCTGATATGTGTAAGCTTTGAATCAGAAGGTCATCTGGGGACTTACAAGGTACTTAACCGACTGGAACAATTGCACGAATACTTTGCGCGCCTCCACCTCGGTCAACTTTTGTTTCATGACGATCCAGTTGAACAGTTCGCCTTCAGTGGCGAGCTCGAGCACTAGGTAGACGCCATCATCCTCATCAAATGTGTCCTTGAGACAGAGTAGCGCCGGATGGCTAACACTCATGAGCACGGCAATCTCTTGCTGCAGACCCTCGACCTTGGACTTCTCGCCAGGACCAGAACGCTTCTCGAACTTCTTCACTGCGTACCGTACGCCAGTCGCTTTCTCTGCGCAGAGGTATACTGAAGCAAAATGACCCTTGCCTAACTGCTCCTGCATGGTATATTGTTGTCGGAATCGGTGGGTGTTGCGCTTCAACGGGTATCTGAAGACATAGCGTGCTTGGTCCAAGATGGCAATCTCGTCACCTTCGCGCAATTCGCGTCGCTTGTTCCGTCCAACGAAGATGTCGTTGACAAAGGTTCCGTTTCCAGACAAGTCTTCAAGTACAGCGACGACATCGCCGCCCTTCTTCTCTGTGAACAGCAGACAGTGACGGTTTGAGACGGTGGGTGAATTGAGGACTCGATCTGTGACATGGTCAGACAAGCGCTCCTTCGTAGGGACTGTTACCGCGACTTACCGCACTCTCTGTGGCGACCGATGAGGTAGCCACCTGCTGGTACACCGCGCTCCTGCTTCTCCTTCTCGTATTTGTCCTCCTGCTGTTTGTACTCTTCTTTGCTTACCCGCTCTGTTCCTTCGGTCTGGCCAACGAGTGCCTGAGGAACAGGACAGGCTTGTCGCCGGCGGAGTACTAGCACGTCTTTGTCCCGGCCATCCATAGGCACCAGGTAGCCCCAGACCTCTTCTTCCTCTTCATCTTCTACAGCGTACGTCCGGCTGTCGGGCGGGTAGACGAACTGGGAGAAGGGCTGGGTGTCGGATGGGGGCGACGAGAGACCACCGCGTGCCTGGCTTGGCTTGCTAGGCGGGGGACTCTGTGTGCCTTCTTTGTAGCCTTCCGAAGCGTCTCCGGTGGATTCCTTGTGGGTTACAGGCGAAGGCAACGGTCCCTGCTTAAGACGGCCGTTGGGGGGCGGCGACAGGCGCGAGTGGCGAGTGCGCTTTGGTTCGGCCTCTTCGCCCTGCGAGTACTACAGCAATTGAAGCGTCAGCGCCCGCTCCCAGTCACATACTTGGCGGTATAACGGCTACCTACGCGGTTTCGCTTGAGCTGGCTTTTCTCAGTCTGGGCCGGCATCTTGACAACAAGGGCGAGTAGTGGAGTCGAGACGGAGACGGCGACGAAGACGGGTCAATGCTGGCGCGGGTATGACTGTCTAGATAGGCAGCATAGTGTTGCGAATGATGGAAACGAATAGTAAGGGCGGGCGAGTCTGGGCCGCTAAGCTGGACTGAGATTGAACGTCCGCAGGCCCTCGAGCCTTGGACGATGTTGCAGGCAGCCAAGCCCTGGAGCCGGGGAAGTCGCGTCGCACCCCTGCCGATTTGCGCGTGGCGAGCCTGCCGCCCTGTTAGGTGTAGCCGGTGCGTCACTCCGGGCCACTCATGGGCTGCCCACTTTGTCGACTTGCAACCTGCGTCAACTACCACCCGGGGACTGTCTCCGAGTCACCCTATGACAGCTTCCTCATTTGCATTACTCAGCCCGAACAAAACCACGCACAAGCATGCTTTCAGGTTTTCCTCACCTCGATGCAATTGAGTTTGAGCAGGCCTGCGATGCGCTGCAGCGATGCTTCCAGCTGAGAGGTAGCGCGCAGCACGAGTGGCTTTCCGTGGAGAAGAGGCACCGAAATGGGTCCGTATATCTCAACATTACCACCCATCTGCCGTTCTGCGCAGATCGACCTGCGGTGCATGATCGGGACGCTATTGAAAAGGACGAAGTAGTAGACGACGACGAGGTGGGTGATGCCAGGGCCCTGATCTGCCGATACGAGCTCAGCCTAGGTAGGAAGCTCTTCACGACGCCGTAGCACCCCAGCCAGTTGTAGACTACGATGTCGTCCTATCGGATGTCTATCGCGTGCCCGTCTTGTACATCAGCATTCGTGACCCTGAGCACCGGTATCCGCCGACAATGACTACGTTGTACGAGCACTTGGTCCCCCCACAGTTCAAAGCTCAGACAGAGAATGTTGGTGTCATTGGAGGCATTACCATTACTGTGAGAAGTGCGATCCCATGTAGTGGATTCAACTAACCATCGCAGGAGCACCCACTCAAAAACAGACCCGTGTTCTTCATCCATCCATGTCAGACGGCTGATGTGATGGAGGCCAGTGTCGAGAGCGTCATAACAGCAGATAAGTATCTGACCATATGGATAGGGGCCATGGGAAAGGCCATTGGTCTGAATATGCCGTTACAACTAGCAATACCAAACGATACTTGATATTGACATGCTTGATTTACAATTCGTGTCACAGTATAATACAACTACAACCGCATCCGTACACTTGCCTTCTCTAGCTCGCCAATGTTGCCCATACCCGCCAGGCTCCACTTCTCCGCCACGAAGCCCTCATTGACTTGGTGTCGTAGCATCCCGCTTTCGGCGTAGTACTCCATGATCGACCGGGCCTCTTCCTTGGTCAGCCCGCCGACATTGATAATGTCAAGCCCCTTGGAGTCGCTGTGGAGATCCTTGAGAGCCTCCATGACGCGCACGTCTACGCTCTTGTAAGGGTTCCATTCTGGCAGTTTGTCTGCAGACTTCTGACGGGCTTCGGCTGCTTCGATGCAGTGGTCCATGGCTGGTGACGTAGGGGCGTTTGATCGTGATGTTGCGCCGAGCACCACGCCGCCGTTGGGTAGTTTCCTTTGGCCTGAAAGGTGATCGACGAAGTGGCGTACAAGAGTCAGGTCGTGAGCGTGAATTGGCTTTACTTCTGCAGACATGTATTCGGAGTGGCGCATGATATGCGACAGACCATCGAGCGCAAGCAGAATTTGTGGACGGCCGGGCAGAGATAGCTCATTCCATAACGCAACAAAGACTGGCCATGATGCCTCGGGGTTGGCCATACCAAGCGCCGCCAGCTCTTTCAGTGTAGCACCCGCAGGAAGCGGCAGGGGCAGTTCAGGCTGCGTGCTAAGTTTTGTGGCAGCAAGGAACGCTCCGTTCGACAGGAGGATTTGCTGGAGAAGATTTGCCGTGTACGTATCTTGAGTATATTGCATCGGTTCTGAGTTGGGAAGAGGCGCATAGTCTGTATGCGCGTTGACGAGGGTTTGGGCTGAGAGTTGTCAGTGGCATGTCTCTGCCTCGAAACCACAGTCCATACCTTCTGGGATGTTGATCACAAACCAGTCCCGTAGAAAACCCATGGTAAGGCCCTGAAGTACCAATGTGCTCTTCCCGCTCATCCTTTGTCCGCACAGTATCCGTCTTATCGTCTTCTTGGAGCTCTCGGCCTCGTTGAACAGCCTCGCGAGTTCAATCGCCTCCTTTCTCATCAAAACGGCTGGTCGACGGAACAGACCCCATCCCTGGCTTGTCTTGAATGCCTCGACGGCTCGCAGCGCATCCACTACAGTCTCCTGCGGCAATCCCATGACCTTGCCCTCATTCTGTTCGCTGAGAACATTGTCCTTGGTGAGGTCCCGCAGCGAAGATACTTCAAGTGCGTTGTCGTTGCTCAGAACGATGCGCTTCCGCTGGGCTTTTCGCTCTCCTTGGGCCGGCCGCTTGCCCGAGTCACCTCCCGATGCTCCTCTGCCCTTCTTCGTGTTCAAAGACTTGACGCCCTTCTTGGGGGCGGCGGTCATGCCCTTCTTCTTGGGTCCTGTCACGGCATAGCGGGCGGACGACGTGGAAAAGCAGGCTATCTGGGGGCGTAGCACGCGCGGTGCAATGCA